GGGAATGCTGGGAATGCAGCCGGCTAGCCGCAAAAAACCCGGGTTTTTTTCAATATTTCCCAAAAGCAGCCATCAAGAACCGATACTAGCAACCCCCCTCAAATACCATAAAAATAGACTTCCAAAAGCACGATAATGCAAGGGATGTTTCGCAGCCGTACAAGTGAGGAATTGCAAAAAAACTCATTTTTGCAGATTTCAACAGTTCCTCATCACTGCACTTGGCTTCACCCAAACCCCTAACAGGCCAATTCCAACATCGCTTGAAACAGCAAAACGCCACTAGTGTCTGCAAAAAAAAGAGACAAATTCATAGCAACAAGATAATCCTGATGATGCTGGGGATGCAGATCCTGTGCGTCCGGGGGAACCCTCCCCCCCAAGAACCTAGGCGAAACGCAGATTCCTAGCACGAAAGACCCAAAAACACTGGAAAAATACAGGGTTTGGACACGTAGCACAGCATGCCCAAAACATAGCAGTCCCAAAAGCCTTCGGCTTTGATAAGAGACTCCGAAGGAAGACCAAGTTGCGGACTGCCATGTACACGCTCCACTGGCGTCGGCGGATTTGCATATATATATATATATAGATAATGTGTGTAACATATAAATAAATAAATATATATATATATACATACATAGATCACGAATGTAATATATATATATATATTATATATATATATATATGTTTTTCTAGCATCACGCCCGTCTTTCGCTGCGCCTTGGTGTCCGCTCCTGAGTCAACTCTTGCTCACTCACTCCCTCGCTCCCTCGCTCCCTCGCTCGCTCGCAATCCTCATCACATTTTTTGTGATTTGCTGGTTGTTGGGTTGCAGACATCGCTTGCGCCCAGAGGAAAAACCAGAGAACTGGAAGCAAGGGACGCTGGCAACTCACCACCCTGTGCCAAAGGCCGGGCAGTCTTGGTGGTCGCCCACACTCACTCACTTGCTCACTCCCTCACTCCCTCACTCCCTCACTCCCTCACTCCCTCACTCGCTCGCTCGCTCACTCACTCAGTGCGTCAGTCAGTCAGTTAGTCAGTCAGGCATTCAGTCAACTCACTCACTCCCTCACTCACTCCCTCGCTCCCTCGTTCAACTTGCAAACTTAGCAACGGAAAGCGGAGCCTCTGACCAAATGGCGCTTGCTGCCAAGCTTGCTTTAAACCCTAAACATTCTAAACTAAGCCTTTTGAAACCCAAACGAAAACCCTAAACCCCACGCCCTACACACTGACACCTTAAACCAAAGTCCTAAGCATCCTAAAGCTAGACTCTAGAAGTCGTAAACCTAAACCCCCCAAACCTAAGCCCCCGAACCTAAGCAACACACCCCTTAGCCCCCTTGGCCTAAACCAAAACCACCCTGGCAGAAGGCCTCGCCATTGGCCAACTCAGGCAGGCGACTATTACTAATCATAACAAAAGTAATATATGGCCATGTTGGTTAAAATCCAAATCGTACCCCCAGTGAACATCCGATTCAATCCAACCACTAAAATAGGTGTTAAAACGGATGGTGCACTTACCCCCAAATGGGATGCCATTGGTTTTGACCACCACAGCCATATGTATGCAGGTACACAGAGTAGATGATTTTCAGCCACGCTTGTCACGGGTATATCCTTTGTAGTGCTTTGCTTGCTTATAGGGGACTTACAGTAACTGCAACTATTGATAAGCTCCCGGTATTTTGCCGAAAGTAGATTTTGTGACACCCATGATTTCAGTAATCAGAAAGAAGAATGCATAGTTTGTGCGGCTTCACCTTTTAATGCTCACCAGAGTTGAAAATACTTGTCGGGGGCAGTTGGCCACAAAAAGGGCGGCGGTTAGTGATGGTGAGAAGAAGGTGCGTGAGGGTTTTACGGTGTCACCACTGCGTGTTATATAAAGCAAAGGTGTTGGCGCCGTGAGTATAGGCATCTCGCAATGTTTACATGCTCCTTGCTTCGTGAAGAGCGGTGGGAGCATGCTTGAAGAAGACGGCACCGCGCGGGGCCGCATTTTGCCGCAACATGGCCCATACGTGTATGTCAGTCAGACTGGGTGAACCCCAAAACTGGTCTAGGTCCCCCAGTAGTGCCCTTTTACCCCTTTTTGGGAGGGTTCCCCTACTAAAATAGACTGCAGCAAAAAGGGCACCCTTATTCTAATCTCTTCACTGGAGGACCTCGTGGTGGTTGCCCTGTTGTCCTGTTGGATTCTCTTGGAAACCAACCCCAAAAAGGCGTATCAAAACGGAAACGCGTACCACAGCAACAAGCGCGGCGTCGGTCCGTGGCTCAGCTGTGAGACGTAGGTTCCACAGTCGAAAGAGGGGAGGTTCCACATGAAGCGCTGCTCGGACGGCGTAAATTCTTCAGGTTCGCTAAAAAAGGGGTTGCGTTCTTCAATCAAATTTATGGACCTTTCATCGCAGAAATCAAAAACATCACCACATAGCTAGCGTTTGGCGTGCGCCATTCATGGGAATCTTCCGGCTGATCCCCTAGCAATGGCCGCATGGCCGAGGCTCGCAGAGAAGTAAAGGCAGCTGTGCTTTGTGCAAGACCATATGGGTGTGTCCTTTGTTGAAGATACCCCTTTTGGAGTGGGTTTTAAAGAACTTGCTTGGGGAAGCTTGCGTGCAGAACTTGCAGAGAACAGAACCAGGGCCACCCGTCTTCTTGTTTTAACTTGCCCACAAAGAAGCAAGAACGGGGTGGGTAATTGTGATATTTGCAGGAGTTCGTTTTGAACAATGACGGCTTAGTCACGCAAGGCATGCGAGGTGCAGGAGCCTCGGAAGAACTTGGTTTAGTGAGGTTCCCTGAGGCAGAACACTCCTCGGTTTCTTCAGAAAATCCCCAGAGGGCTTTCCAGCCTCGGAAAATAGAAAAGCTAGGTCCCCCAGCTAGGTGCCCTTTCTCTCACCAAATTCTTTGGTTGGGAGGGTTCGGGACCCTACTAAAATAGACAAATCCGAAGAAAAAGAGTTGGTACCCGGTTCCCCGACTAAAATGGACGAAACCGAAAAAAATGTCGGGTACCAACTGATTCTAACCTCTCTAGTGGAGGAGTGTTCAGTCGCCTTCCCCAGGTTCCACTGGTGAAGCCGCTGTCTCTTCCTACATGGCTGTGGTGGTGAATACCGTTTTGGTTGATCCCGTTTTGGACTCACCACCCATTTTAGGACCTATTTTAGTGGTTGGAGTGGGATGGAATCACTGGGGGTACGATTTGGATTTTGAAAAGCCCATGGCCACATGTGTTATCCTTCACGGTGAAACGCACAGAAGGGGATCCAGATCCAGCAGCCAGGCCAGCCAGAGTTGCGTTTGGACGAACTCGCCCAACGGCCAGGACGGCGCCTATTGCTTTCAGGAGTGGGCCCGGGGCTGAGGATGCAAGTCGCGTCGGTGTGGGGCTTAAGGCCGGAGCTCGGCCTGGGACGCAAGAGGACGCTATTTCCTGTCAGAAAGTCTAGTGCCTTTGGTGTTGTTGCTGAGTTATGTTGTTTTGGTCAACCCCATGAAATCAGCGAGAGAGAGAGAGAGAGTGTTGAAAAAGAGAACGTGCGCCCCCCCTTCCTCGGTTAACAAGATGGACAGCCCAAGGAGTTGCAGGCCTCAGTGTTTTCAGGCTCTCAGCTGCGCGAGGGGACTTGCAACCCCGCCATTTGGGTTTGAGCGCACGCGTAAGTGTGTGTGTGTGTGGGTTTGTTTTTTCTTTTGTTTGTTTGTTTGATTGTTTGTTTGTTTGTTTGTCTGTCTGTCTGTCTGTCTGTCTGTCTGTCTGTCTGTCTGTCTGTCTGTCTGTTTGCTGGTTTGTTTGCAGGAGTGGTTTGGTTTAGCTGGTTTTGTCCTTTTGGTTCAGTTTGTTTGTTTGCTTCCTTGTTTTTTTGCGTGTTTGTGCTGTTGAACATTTTGTTGGGGTCCCTTAGTTTGGCATATGCCCTTTTGGGGACATGGGCGGGGAGCCGATTCCGAATCGGAGCAGCCGCATGTGAGGCCAAAGGTGACGCAGGAGACTCTGCGGGAAGCTCGGTGAGGTCAAGCACTTCTTCAAACATGTGGGTATGGGTCAAATTTTTTACCGCCAGGATGTGGACCACAGGTTTTGGAAGCCAGGTCTCCACTTGCCAGGGCAACCCATTTGGGGTACCGATTTTTGACCCACAGCCGTGTGGGGCTGTGTTTGAGTTGGTGCTCTTTTCCGGGTTGGTTTCCAGGGATACAAAAAGGAATCCATCCATTTGGTCCACATTTTGTTTGAAATATCGCCATCTACGGGTTGCCATTTGCAAGGTTGCTCTTGGGGGTCTAGGACCGCCGCCAGAGAACACGAGAACGGACGTCTTGTTACTCGCCATACCTGAAAAGGTGTTAAAAAGGAAGCTCCCTTCCATTTGTTTGGGCTGATTTCAGAAAGTCATCACCTTCAACAGAAGTCTGCCCCAAAGCCAGGCATATGCTGCTGCTCTGCAGGTCCGGGGAGGGGGGGGGGGCCTGTCCGATGTTTTGCAAGCAGGCAGGACCCAGGCAATTGGCTTCTATTGGTACACCAGCCTGTTGCCGGATCAGTTTGGTTTACTAGCAGGGTTCCTTCCACAACCCGATGTTGAACAAACGCATGGACATGTTTGGGAGGTCAAGGTGCTGCTGACGTGTCATGTGGCGCTTGCGCCTGGAGGAGAGAATCGTCTCTGAAACTTGTCACGAATGAAATGTAGTGAGGTAAGCGTTGCTTCAGTCAAAGCTGCAGCCGAAGAAGACGAGCTATGCGTCGTTGCTCCAAAATACAGGCGATGCATCTTGAGCCGCGACCGTCTAATCTGGCCACATCTTGCCAGTGGACAAGCCACAGCTCATTCAAAGAAAGATGAAACGCCTAGGTGGTTGCTCTGGTTTTTCCTCGGCCCATGCCATGCCGGGTTATGCTTGGAAAGCTGCATCTGGCTGCATGCGCACCATTTGCTGAGCGGATCTCGGTTACAAACCGTTTTCGGCACGCAATGCTTTGTGACAGCCCGTGCGCACAGCAGCTTGGCAAAAAATGTGCTCAGGACGACACTGGTGTGGCCGCTCGTACTTCCTGTTCGAGGGGGTCAGATCTGGCTTCCTTCCTCCGGATTTCAAGCTGCCCACGCTGTTTTCTGACTTGGCGCAAGGCTTTTCGGGACGGTTCTGCGCCGACCTGCCGGCCTGCGTCACATCTACCTGCGTTGGTACTTGGCAAGACTGTTTGGCTGCAAGGCCCGCTCTTTGTAGCGCCAAACCTCCTAAATGTGTTTTGCTCCCGTTTTCCCGGTTTCCCAAGTCAACACATGCATGTTTTTTCACACGTGGGGGTGCCAGTTTTCTACCAACTTTTGGTTTGACAGGAAGATTCGGGGGCATCCTTTTGGCTCAATTGGGACTTCCAAGAGCGGCCAGGAGCGGCTGAGGAAGGTCCGCGCCGAGGTGGAGCTGCAGGCGTTTGGGGCTTTTTGACTTTCGACGAATGTCGGTGCCCAATGAGCCAAATCAAACACGATGATGTCTTCCCCAAAATATTCTACCCCCAAAATTTAAAGGGGTACCTAACGCGATGTTGCTGGTTTGGAGAAGATCCGAGCTCCTGCGTCTGCTGAGCTCTTGGGCGTCCCCCGGTCCTGCCATAAAAGAATTCCCATCTCTCTCGCTCTCTCCCTCTCTCTCTCTCTGTGTCTGTGTCTGTGTCTGTGTCTGTCTCTGTCTCTGCTTGTCCAGTAATTCTTTCATCTGAGTACAGAAGCAGCACAATGCAATCCTAAGCCAATACTGAGCTACTGCATACCAATACCAAGCCAGCACTAAGCAATGATAACCACTACGAAATCAACACTAAACAAAGACTAAACCAATGCTAAGCAGCACTCAACTTAGGAAAGGCCAATCTGACCCGCAGTTTTTGCTGCGGCAAAGCGATTGGGCCGAAACGACGGGGAAGCAGACACCACAGAAACCCAGGCCGAAATCGGCGATTCAATGTGTAAGTGCGTGTCTCTTCTTCGGCAAAATATGTTTCCCTTGCGCCACGAAGGGTCGTGAAACCCAAGGAGGCAAGCAGTTCGAAGGCCTGAAACTCGCACGTTTGCCGCGTAGCTTCCTGGAAATAATCGGGGAGCAAGCGCAACTGAGTTGACTGGTCAAGGACAGGTTGCCACATGGCCCCTTTTGACTGTGCGCCGATTTAAAGATTTAAAACTGGGATGCCAAGAAGGGTGCATAACTTGTGGGAAACCCAACGAAACAAATGAACAAGCAGTTTGTTTCAAGCAAACTCATCAGGTAGGTCCGCGGGCCAAACATGGGCGATGAATATGTGGGTCGCTGATTGATATAAAAGCGTCCCTCCCCCCAAAGCCAAAACAACTTGTGTGACTCAATAGAGAAAACCGGCCAACCAACTTGGGGCGCAGGGGGCAGATGTACAGAACCCGGTGCAACCTCCCACTAGCAGGACCCTGTTTGTAGCGGGGTGCAAAAGTCCACACGCAGGCGGGAGGTGGAACCGCTTGTGTTAGACATTTCCCGAGGAATTACTCTGTAGAGCAACATGGACCCCTTAAAAGAAGGGTCCCTAAGAAGGTATCTCGCATGATTTGTTTTGTTGGTCCCATGTGAATTTGCGGTTCAGGCAACCTTGCGTGGAGGTGTGCTCGGACCTTTTTTTTCTTCTCATTTCTTCGATTTTTCTGGAGTCGATCGGCCGCATGCGCATTTCCAAACCAGCAACACCCAAACCAACCAAAGCCACTTTGAACACCACGAACCCGACCACCACTTAAAGCCGCCAACCTTTCAATCCACCAACCTTCACCAACCTTTTTCACCACCAACCTTTGCACCCACCTCCCTTTTACACCGCCAATCTCTACACCCGCCAACCCAAGCCTTGTAAAACAGGGGAGGATCGCCCTGGGCCTGCGCAGAGACTTGGACCATGCGGAGGCGCAGGCCGGAAGGGAAGACCAGGTTGGGCGTGGCTCAACAGTCGAGATTCAGGCCGCAGGGTTTGGTCCTTGGTTCCATGTACCAAGGGGGATTTTTGGTGCCACAGTTTGGTCTTGGTTTCTATTTCCATTCACCAAGAAGCCATTTGGGGTACCATAGTTTGAGCCACGGCCATTTGTGCATGAGTAGATGAAGGTTAGTAAGGGATACTCCCAATCCGCCTTTGGAAAACTTCTGGGATTACGACCATTTTAATGCTGGGGTTTTGATTATGACTCATTTGAGTATGGTCACAGCCCACAGCCATTTAGGTGGGTCGCTGAAAGATAGACACCCCTTGAAACTTCCAAGTTTGCCGAAAAAGAGGGAGCGTTGGCCGAGCTGGCGATTGGAGTTCTGTGAGGGCATGGTAGGTAAGGAATCGGCGCGCTGAGTTTGCACTGCGAGTGGCTCTTTCTCGTACTCCCGACTCAGCACAGCTGGGCTTGTCTTTGGAGTAAACCAAAGCCCATGAGCCACGTGCTGAAAACCAAAGGGTAGAAGCTTAGTATCCGGGATAGTTGCGGACATCCACCTGTCCAACTCTAGCATGGTGGGTAAACCATTTTATCCCCAGGTTTCGATCTTTACTCATGGGGTTATTTAAAGGACACCAAAGGAAAGCTGCCCATAAAAGTAGGGTACCATTTTGAGAGATATGTCTCTATGAGTTTTCAGAGTTGGAACCTCACAACAAAGGGGCCCCTCATTCAAACTCATGGGGTGTAGAGTTCAGATGGGGTTGCTTGCTGCGAGATGGCTGATGCTCTGGGCTTGAATGTTGTTTTGCTTGCGCCGTTCAAGAGCCTCGTGCTGCAGATTCCTTGGGCATCCACTACCTAGTGTAACTACTTCTGCCGCCGCCTCCTTTGCTGCCGCCGCTGCCGCCGTTGCCTCTGCTTCTGCCGCCTCTGCTAGTCCTAGTCCTTACACCACCACCACCACCACCACCACCACCACCACCACCACCACCACCACCACCACCACCACCACCACCACCACCACCACCACCACCACCACCACCACCACCGGTCAACAAGGCCAGGATGCCCCCCCCCCCCCCCTTCTGGAGTTCTTTGGCTTTTCTCCTTCTTCAAGCCTCCCTGGCTTCCTTGGTGAGCCCTAGGCCGCTGCGCACCAGCAGGAGAGACCCGACAACGCGCTCGGACTCGTCCGTCGGACTCGCCTTCGCCTGTCTTCTGGTCCCGAGGGATGTGGGTGCCAGTAGTGTCAAGATCGGACGGACCAAAAAACCCCAGCCAGGGGAACATATCTTCTTTGGATATTTTTTCGGGTAGTATGGTTCCTTCCGGATTCTGAAGTCGACACATTGCAAACGAGGTAGCAAGGGTTAGTGCCCTGCTGATGGTTATAAGCATGAAGTGGGTTCAACATTTGACTGGAAGACTGTGCACCGAAGCAACCAGACGTAAAACCTGGTTACACATCGTGGTACCTAGAAGCACTGGCTGACTGGTTTTCCAGAGCCGTTGGGTAAATACACGCCATGGGAATGACGTTTTCGGTTGGAATTGTCCCATCAACTTTCGCCCAACCTGCAAGCTGTTTGTATTTGTCCGTTTGCACATGCAAAACAAACTCAAGGGGTATATCAAGAGTATAACTCCCTTATCAAGCACAGACCAGCTCAAGACCCTATGAGATCCAGCACACCGACCGAATTCTCGGTGGGGAATGGAGGGACCCCCATCCTCTTCATGCATCCTTCTCTTCAAGAAACGGGCCAACACATGCAAACTTGGATGGTTTCTGAGAGAGTACTCCGGGTGAGAATGGAATGCTTTTCTTCTTCTTTTTGTTCTCAAGACAAAAACAACATGACTGGTGCGCAGTGGAGCAACCCAACACCTTTCGTCGCTGTTGGCAGGAGCTGGCCCAGCTCCGCCGCAGCTGGTCGGACGAGCAGCCGCAGCGTGCCGGGGGCCCCGGCCGCTTCGCTCGCTCGCGGGGCCTCGGGGCCTTGGGGCCGGGGGTGTTGGGGGGGGGGGGGAAGCCAACACTGAGGGACCTCAGTAAGGCATGAGGGTTGGGAGGAAGCTAAAACACAAGGGATGAGTTGTGGGGAATCTGAAAACGCAACTGCGAATCATAATTTTTGACCCCGTATTAGTCAACCCCAGTGTATTAACAGGGGGTGTTCCCCTCCAAAAGCGGTGATTCCGCACTAAACCCAATTTGGTCCCAGGTGGTTTGTGGCCTGCACACGGATATAGCGAAATATAGGGATACATGAAGGAAATGTCGACAAATCCAAATGGGCGTGGCTCAAATTTAACCACCCAGGACACCGCAGACTTTGTGGTTGTTTTGCTCTACAAAGTGAGGGTTTCGGGGAGGGGGTTCACCCAATTTTCAACTGCCACGGCCAAATGGGAGTTTGAACTTGTGATTTTGTGTTTGCAAACTGAGGGTTGGGGGGGGGGGGGGTACCTCCCAATTTTCAGCCACCGCCAAACGGGAGTTGTCACTTGTGCTTGCTTCACTCGCCCAAAGCGAATCGACCTCTTGACCTTTTGGTTCCCCCTGTTTGGCCCATTGGTGACCCCAAAAGGTGATCACCTTTGATTTGGGCAACTGAGTGGAATGATTTCCGAGTTTGCAGATTCCACCAGGGTTCTCAAGGCCCAGTTGCCCAGTGGTGCTATTTTTTCCATTTTTTTGGGAAGGGTTCCCTTGAAACTCAACTCCAACCCAAAAAAGGAACCTCCGAGTCAAACTGCCTCTGAGCAACCTGCTTCAAACTGCCTCCTCCGCTCCGAGTCCGCAGGAAGGTCTGCTTCGCGAAACCGGGGACCTGGAACGCAGCCTGGCGCGGCGGCCTAGCCGCAGCCGCGGGTGCAGGTGTTGCGCTTTATTTTCATGGTGGTTGTTGGGACACATTTTTCCCATTTTTGCTTGTTGTGGCTTAGTGTGAAAGCCAACCCCTTGACTGCTAAAGTTTGAATTTTGCTCCCCTTCTAATGTCAACCAATATTTTCCCCAGCAACGGAGCGCAAATGAGCCACGTGCTCAAAACCGATTCGGGTAGATGAAGGTTAAGGGACAATCCCAGCCATACATAGTTGCGGATATCCGCCTTTGTATTTCCTTACATGGTTCTGGGTCAGCCATTTTAATGCCGGGTTTTGATTGTGACTCAAATGGAATCAAGCAACCTTGAAGACAAGGGTTCATTTGTTTCGTCACCAAACATGGAAGTGCACAATCTGCCTTTCCGAGACTCACTCTGCGAGGATCCCTCCGGGCACCCTGAACCCATCCATTCGATCGAGCAAATGGGTTTTGTCACGTGAATCATTTGAAGCCAGCTGCAAGGGACATACCTCTTGGCGGACACGAAAGTCCTTTCAGGCTACGCATGTACCAGCAAAGAATTTAAAGTCGAAACTCGTGTTACTCATTTTGGGCTCAGAGAGGTTCACTGGTCATATAACTGGTCATATGGGCAGAGAGTCCATCACTTCTGGCAACGCCAAGTTTCAGTGAGTTTCTGTGGAGGTTTTCCACTGAGATGCGCTTTCCAGGCTCAGCGGGAGCGGTCCCTGGGCGAGCGCCTGTCGCACTGTGAGAAGCGAGGCAGCCGGGGGCTCGCTTTCCACGGCTGTTGTTGGGTATGGGTCAAAATGAAACCACAGGAACCTACTGTGGATGGTTGCGAAATCAATTTCGCAGCACCTAAGAAACCCTGGAATGATTCGATTGCCTTGTAAATACCAGCAACACGTGGTTTCAACCGTGGTTTCAAAGTGGTGCGAAATGGATTTCATCCAACGTCACAGTATTTCATCCCCCACGCCCCCTTCAGTTTGTCTTTCGAGTTGGTACCGTTTTTTCTTCAGAGGTAAACCAAGCCACAAGGCAACCGCCCATCGGCAGAAAATTACACCTGAGAGAAACCCAAGCGGGCCCTTTTCTGGTGTGTCTTGTTTTTCATTAGAACCTGCTTGAGGGACACGTAAGGGAAACAACCCAAAAAGAAGGCTTCCCCCCCTTGCAGTTGGTGCCCCATAAAGCGAACTTGGAAGGTTCCTCCGAATTTTGAAGGCTCCCCCCAGTAGAACGATGTCCAGCATGTTTAGAAGTGATTATCTGATTGCCGGAAGGAAGGCGACCCCAGAAGGATTCCTATCATGTTTAGAAAGTGTGGTTGACCTCATGCCATTCCAGTGCCGCCAAGCAAAATCACCAAACCAGACCACAGCTTCCATGAACTTCATTGACCCCCATCGAAGACACCCAGAAATGTCGCTTTCAACCAACCCGTGCTCTTCTTTGATGCGGCTGACCAGATGTTTTGAAGCAGCTGGCCGGGATGTTTGGGTGGCACAAAAAGCAAACATGCTGAGGAGGCATGTTTTTGCGTGGTTTTCCTTTGACCTACCATTCAGAGGGAACATGTTGAGGATTTGGCTTAAACGGGCCCACTATGGTCCTTTTTCTCCCATGGCAAGCCAGGGGTCGGCGCTTTCAATCCTCAAGCCGAAGCACGACGGAGCTCCGGAATCTCCCCTTCGCGCGAACGTCAGAAGCTTGGGCCCTAAACACCCCTGGCCGCCAGTTGCATTGAAGGACAGAGCCTTGCGGACAGTCAGCAGCGCATCTCCGCCCACATATATATATATATATATATGCATACATCTTACACATATTTGTTCTATATGTGGAGAACATGTTATATATATATATAATACAGAGCTGTGTATATGCATACTATGCATTTTCTGTATATATATATATATACATGCGTAATATGTTTGTAACTATATACATAGATGTTTCCCTGACCCTTCGTTTCGGATGCGCTTCTGGGTATGCAGCCGCGGTGCTTCTGGGCTGCGTGCCGTCAAGAAGGCCAAGGAGAAGATCTCCGCGCCTTCCAGGCGCCGCTCGAAGCTTTGAGCCAGGGCTCCTTTCCAGCGGCTTCCATGAGGTTAAAAAGAATGGTGGGGACCCCGTTGTTTGGAGACTGACTCACATGACCACAGGTGTCCCTCTTTTTTTTCTCTTTTTTTTGCTTGCTTCGGTCGAAAACTAGATGGCGATTCCTGGTGTACCTGGTGGTTTAATGATTTGCCAGGGCCATCTATTGCCCCTAACAGGACACCTATGTTTGGATGGCTTCCATTTGATGATAGATGGCTTCCAAGGGCCCTTGTTAAAGATCCTTTGGCTTCCATTTGGGCGGTCAAAATGTTTAAGCAGCCAAAGTTAAGCAGGTTGTAGTCTACCTTTCCATTTGCCAGGGTTCCATTTTGGACGCCTATGTTTTGAACCCAGTTGAAAATAATATGCTGTATTTCCTGTTGGTTTCAAAGGGAGTCGATTTCACTACTGGAATATGGCGGTGGCTCAAAATTAAAGAGCTAGGGTTGCGCAGGTGGTCTATATTGCCCCCTAGGGTTCCATTTTGGGCCCGGTGGTTTGAGCCATACCCATCCTGAAACCGAAGCAAACTTGAGCATCATGGAAGGGGCCCACAGAGTTGGGAGGACTTAAGTCGACATGGGTTCAAAAGGCGCCCCGCCTTTTTGTTTTCTTCTCCCATGTCCAAAACTGGGTGCCCCAGCTAGGTGCATGTCCTTCTCACCGAATCTTTTTTGGCTGGGGTTTTGGGGTTTTGGGTTCGGGACCCTAAAATAGACGACAGAACAATTTGGTACCAACTTATTCTAACCTCTCTGGAGGAGCTAGAAAAGGAAAGTGGTGTTGCCTTTGGGTGCGATCCCGATGCGTCCGATCCGGCCTCTCTGCCAGAAATTGTGTGACAATTTCCACCAGTTTCAGACCGGGTTGCAGGAAATTGGGCATTTCGGTCAGCCAATCTGATCCTTGCAGTTCAAAGAAAGGAAAGGGTGTTCTTCTATGGGTAGGGTTCATTTGGACACTTCCCGACGTTTTCGGCCCGATCAGACTGCTTGGGGTTTGCGAAGCGGCCTTTTGGCATCCCAGAAACTTTGCCACCAAAACCTTTTTTTCGGGTTTGACGCCCAGTTTCGTCGACCAAGGGTGGACCCCCCAAAATGGGTGGACCCCCCCAAAATGAGCCCTGAAGAAAGGGTCTGAGGGTCACCAAGTGTAGCTATTTAACTCGTTGAAGCTGTATGGTGCTCTTCTTGGTTTTGGCAATCCGTTTTGGATGGTGCACAATAAGTAAGTCAAGAGGTTTGTCTGTGGCAACGAGGAGTAGGACTTGCTGATGTGTGCCCCCGCTTGCTTATGTTTTCTAGGTATGGTGATACTAGTGATGTTGGTGATGCTGGTGATGTTGGTTATGCTGGTGATGCTGGTGATGCTGGTGATGCGGCGGATGCACAACCGAACGGGAGGGGAACCAGGCAAGCAGGAAAGCTGCATTTTTGGTGTCGTTTGGGTTGGTTGGGCAACTGGGAGACTCCAAACCAAGACGGAATCTGAGAAAGATAAAAACATGGGGCCAGCTGCATTTGAGAATTGAGAGTTACAACAGCAGATCCCGGATACGCCTTTTGGAGCGGGGATCCTGGAAGCATGCTGGTTAGACCCCACACCTCCAAACCAATCCAAACCAAGAATGAGCAACGGGGGGTGACTTTGATGGTAAAATCATGGGCCCGGTTTTTGCAGCTGTGGTTGTCAATGCCAATTTTGGGGCAGGTGATTGCACCAATTTGAGAACCGATTTTAGTGGTTGGATTGCGGAAAAGCGGAAATTTCATGATCTCCCATCCAGGAAGCAGCTCCGATCCGCCTTGAGCCGTGAGACAAATGTCCTGGAGGTGCCCTCCGCTTTCCGTGCCCGGACGGGGCTTTGACCCAAAATATGTTTTGGGGCCTGAGGAAAAAGAAGGACATGGCCATTTTTCTGCTTTTTCCAATCAAAAAAAGCTGTTTCCAAGAAAAAGACGTGTTTCCAAGAAAAAGAAAAGGAACAACACTTGTTTCCAAGAAACAAGAAACATACTTGTTTCCACGAAATTGGTCCCCTAAATGGTTTGGTTCTTCGTCTTTGTAGTTGCTCCACCTTTTGGAGAGACTCCCGAAGAGGGCGGCGCCCCATTTTGGAACCCTTTGGACTTGTGCTGGATAAGGCCATGCTGAAATCTCGTTTTTCAACGTCTGCAGCATACACTTGGTGCGCAAAATAAGTGAGCCAGAGCCAAACAAACGGGTTTTCGTTGGCAGTTGACGCCCCAGCTGACCGGGACAACGGGGCCCCACCTTTTTGCAGCCTGGCCAGGTTTCAGGTTTTGACCATGGGCAGATGCACCTGTTGCGGTTCGAAGGTGTTCGCACAGGCCACCCGCATGGTTTTTTTTGGGTGTTTGCCTATGTTGCAAAAAGCGCTGGAGGTCTCTGAAACCTTGACCTTGCTAGATTTGTGACTCACATCTCCCTTGGTCCATGTCCTCTTGTGTGGGTGAATCATTGTAACTCACCCAGACCTCATTTGCATTGCACCGGAGGCTCTTCGTGTCTTCGGAAGGAATCAATTCTATGTCACAGAATATCGCATATGTCAAGATCTTGGCGAAGTGAAATGCCGAACCTCGGCGTGTCTCGATGTCGACATGCCAACCGCAACGTCTCCCATGAAAGATGCGGTCACCATTTCAAGCACGAGTATTCGTAATTTAGTTTAGGAACTCGCCAAATTTCCCGCACGGGCTCACTGAACAAAATCCCATGCCCTTTGCAATACTCGGACATCTTGACCGTCTCTCACAAAAAACCGCTTGTTTTGATCCAAATCGGCGAATTGAAATGGAATGTGCTTGGAGTTTTAGCCAGCAACCTGACAACTCTCTACTGCAGCGAAGAACCCTGTAGACATCGGTCTGTAGCATGTAGATCCCCATGAGTGACAAAGCTACTGGTAGTCTACTGGTAGTCTACTGCTTGGGGGGGTCACCCAATGTCCACAACCGGGCAAGCCCACTGTTCCCACAATCTTCGTAGTTCGCTTTCTCCTAGCTGTCTGGGGGTGACATCTCCATTCCTTTCCGGGACCTCCTTTCCAATCCAAACGCAAATGCGGACACCGGCCAACACGGCGCGGGTGTGTCGGCAGCAACCGCTTCGGATCTCGTTTCGATCGATGTTGAGTCGATTTCCCTTGTGATTGACACCTTTTGGAAAGGCTAGGAGAGTTTTGCTTGGGAAGGTTTGAAGGCATAGTGGTTTGAAGGCATTGGGAAGGCATGGGAAGGTCTGAAGTGGATTGAAGGCGTGGAGATGGCATGGCCAGGCTAAAACAGGCAGTTCATATTGAGGGAGGTTGGACATTTGGTACGCCCGAAGGTGCTGCGGGAGACGAAAGCCAAGCTGACGCTGCGGAATTACAACGATGCACTCTTGGAGTGTGCCAAGGCGTGGTCGGCTTTTTGCTCGCCTTTTGCCAAGAATCGTTTGGGGCACTTTACGGGAACCCATTTTTCAAGGCCCTTTAAGGATACATTTGTGAACAAGGTGAAGAGAATACATTCACTAGCTGATTTACATTGTGGACATGTTACCTTTTTGGGAGTGCTTCTAATCTGCGTTGCCATTTTGGTATGTATCCTTCTGCCGAAACCCTGTTTTTGGCTGGGACACGCGGCCACAAAACGAGCCAAGGCCAGTGTCTGGCAAACCACCTGCGAGATCTTGTGGTCCATGCCGGAGCTTGCTGTGCGCCCGGATATTTCGAGCTTCAACTCCTCCATCAGATCTTGCAAGCAAGGCAACTTGTGGGTGGTCAAGCATGATGTGGATGCACAAAGTCCTTTTTGCACCAGTTGGTAGGCACTTTTTCTCAGTATTCATAGGGATTCATTCATCCCAACTGGTGTAGGGTTTTGCTTACAGTATTTATGCCCCCCAATTTTGATTGAAGACGACCATATTTCCTGGGCAACTTTGATCCCTGCAATGTGGAGGTACATGTCGTGCCGCCGTTTGTTGGAAGTTTTATTATTTTTTTTTGGGAGGGGGTAAAGTCCCTTTGAAGAGACTGATTTTCAGGCCAACAGTGGCAGTCCGCCCTGCTCCTCTTTGAGTGCATGCCACATCACAGCATCTCGCCGGATATAATCAGCTTCAACACCACCATCAGTTCACTCGAGAAGGGTGGGCAACACAAGCGTGCTCAGAGCTTCTTCGGCAACATGATGCAGGACTGATTTGATTGGCCAACAGCTAGGGGTCGTGTTGTGTTAGAGAGATGCTTGCGTGCGCCTGTCAAACGTACTGAGAGGATGTTGCTGTTCTTTGCTGGGAAGCCTCTAGTTTTGACACATACCGCATGTACCCACAAGGCACGTGGACCTTGGACAGTCCAGTTGACCATGCTGCTGCGTGTTGTTACAACCTCTACTGCTGATTCATTTGGAGGACTGGACGAAATAGGAATGGCTCTCCTTTTGTGGGAACTTTGGGGGATTCCTCAAGTACTCCTGCGGCTCGATCCGAAGTTGGATCAGCCCCTCCATCACATTTCCTTGTAAGGCAATCGTGGCAGTGACCTCCTTTTCCATGTCCATTACGCCTACCTTCGGCCATATCTTGGGCCAAACAATGGCGGTCCATTTAGGGAAAGGTAAGGCCTTGGAGAGGTCGTTCTCGATCCTTCGTCAAGGTATAATTTGTTTGCGGAAGACATTACGCAAATGTGATTGGAGAGTGCTGTAGGATGTGATTTCCACTTCTTACATTCAACGTTCTAGGTGTTGTTGTGGCCCTGCTTGCCAGGTTCTTTTTGTGAACCCGTACTTGCTTTGCGTGTCTCCTATCCAGGGTTGGTCAAGCTTCCTTTGCAGGAGGCAGTCACCCCGGACGTCATCAGCTTCAATTCCACCATCAGCACCTGCAAGCATCGCCGACAGTGGCAGCTCGCACTACAACTCTTCGAATCTCAGCGCAAAGTTAACCACACCTCTTTGATTTTACCCAAGGACACCCAAAGGGGACAGGTATGTATCTTTTAATTTGTTTGTGGTTTGTCCAAAACCCTGATTTAAAGAAGACAAAGACAGGAGTCCATGCCAAAGCACGAAGTGCTTCCAGACCTCATCAGCTTCAACACCACCATTGACTGCTGCGGCCAGTGGCAAACTGCCCAGCGCCTGCTGGGCACAATGGCCTCCTCGAAGGTGATCCGCCAAGTTTTTTCGGGAGGAAGGAGGGTGAGTTTCCTTAAGCAACAACAACAACGACAACAACAGCAGCAGCAGCAGCAGCAGCAGCAGCAGCAGCAGCAGCAGCAGCAGCAGCAGCAGCAGCAGCAGCAGCATTGGCGTCCTTTGGTAACCACAGCATGTTGGCGAGTTGTTGACACATGTCTTGGTGTCAAATTTTTCCGTACTTTGTATTTGTATGTTTTCTTGCAACTAGTACCATCTCTTTATTATTCGAATGATGTGTCGGGCACTTTCCCTATCAATTTAAGCCATTTGGATTAATCTTGCATGGGTTGTTGGTGCGTCTTCTTCTTCTCCTTACTTTTTAAAGAGAAAACACTCTTTTGCTGTTGATTGTGTCCTTTGTGTTCTTTGGATGCCTCATTGGGGTACGGGTCAAAACAAAACCACCAGGGGACCGCAGGTTTTAGTTTTTGGTTCTATTTGCCAGGATTCCATTTTGGGTACCTATTTTGACCCACTGCCAGCTGAATTGGGCGGTGAACTTGGGAGATCGGCTCTGCTTCAAGTTCGGGAATGAGCCTCAAGGCTACATCTTGGGTCGACGTGTGCGCCAAGTGATCCCACAACCATGTGGGTCTTTCCTTTTCTCCAGGTTTCGCCCAGTGACAGCACCTGGGCCGCCGCCATCAGCTGCTGCGAGCGCCAGGAGCCGTGTTTTTCCGCGAGGGGTTCAATGTGAGAGGTCAAAGGAGCCCATGGTGAAGATGTTGGGGGGGTTCAACTGTTCAACTGGGTCAACACCCATTGTACCATTTTGGGGTAGGTGAATTCTCCACCCGTTTTAGAACCTATTTTAGTGGGGATTGGGATGTTCACTGGGGGTACTTTCTTTGGTGCATGTTGCCAAGGGATGTTAGGACTTTAACTTTTGCCAACCAATGAATTTTCCGTATTAAACCATGAAAAATTAAACTTCTAGCAGGGGAGCAGAAAGCGACCGAGGTTTTGGGGGTTCAACTGATTTCAGGTTTTGGACATATTGTGAAATGATGAGAAGTGACCTTGAGTTGATAGGAGTTGGGGTTCAAATAGTAAGGGGCAATTCAAATAGTGGGGGTGGGGGCAGAGCAGATGCCGAGCAGATGCCGAGCAGATGCCGAGCTGATGCCGAGCTAATGCTGCGGATGCCATGTTTGTCTGTTTGGTGTGTTTTCAGGTCCGATTCTAGCAGTTTTCTAGTCGCGAGCGCTTGTTGCAGATGATGCAGGGGAAGCTGGAGATGCTGGAGATGCTGGCTGGAGATGCTGGCTGGCGATGCTGGGGATGCTGGGGATGCTGGAGATGCTGGTTGTATGCGGGAGATGATGCTGGAGATGCTGGCCAGTGATTCCAGGGAGCTGGCTACCGCTGGGTATTCTGACGTTGGGTAGTCCTTAAGGCTGATTGAATTAATTCGGACGGCTCGAGGGTTTTTTGGAGATTGTAACGTGGCCGTGTTTGGTTTGTCTCAAGCTTGAAGTACTTGGGAGACTCTGCTTTTCATGTGCCGGCAGCCCCCCGCTTTCATTTTTTGGCCGTGCTGGTTTGCAGATGTTTGTGACTACCGCAAGGATGGTTGTTTTGTTCTTCGAAGTCGTTAGTGCTCTTTCTTTTGGCCCCAAATGTATTTCTAGGTACCGAAAGGCTTCTATCTGCTTACGAATAGTTTATATGTTTCCCTGGCTTAGGGCAGCTATCGCTGGGAGCTGGCCCAGCTTTCCATATCAGGGCACAGCAGCTACTTTTCTCCCTCCAACCGTCCATCACACATCTATCTTTCAATTTTAGGTGACTTCCGGTCTCTCCCTTGCTGCAGCTCAGCAGCCCAACCATCCCAGAGGTGGTTTCCTTGAAGGGGGGCTGGGTTCATTGCCTTTTCTTCAAAGTCAGACCCCAACACCTTATTCAAGCCTTTTCCCTCCAACTGGCGGTTTCCTAGCAAACTGGGTTCATTTTCCCTCCCACGGCACCTCCCTACCCCATCCCCAGGCCCAGTGGCAGCTCGCCCTGCGTTGGCTGCCCTTCGCGGACCGCCCCGACGCCGCCGCCGAGGGCGGCCGCAGCGCCGCGAACGGCGCCCTGGCCTCGGCGATGCGCGGCTGCGCCAAGGCGCGGCAGTGGCAGGCGCTGACGAAGCTTCTGGAGGGCCTCAAGGCCTTGAAGGCGGGAAGGCGAACTCGAAACCCAAGCGCCGAAGCCTTTTTCGTTTTTTGGGGGGGAATTTAGGTCTTTTTGGGGTACCCTGGTCACTTTTGGAAGGAACAGCAAATATGAATTGCTACTTTGTTTAAAGAAGAAGCAACCGCAACACTTGTTTTTGTTGTCTTGTTGTGTGTGCATGTGTCTGTGCGCATGTGTGTGTGTGTGTGGGGTGTGTGTGTGTGTGTGTGTGGTGTGTGGTGTGTGGTGTGTGTGTGTGTGTGTGTGTGTGTGTGTGTGTGTGTGTGTGTGTGTGTGTGTGTGTGTGTGTGTGTGTGTGTGTGTGTGTGTGTGTGTGTGTGTGTGTGTGTGTGTGTGTGTGTGTGTGTGTGTGTGTGTGTGTGTGTGTGTGTGTGTGTGTGTGTGTGTGTGTGTGTGTGTGTGTGTGTGTGTGTGTGTGTGTGTGTGTGTGTGTGTGTGCCCCCCTGTTCCTAAGGGGTTTTGCGGTCGTGCCTTTCTCTCTTTATTGGAGTCGACGCCACCTTGCTGGATGTCCTGGCATGCAGTAGCCAGATTGGCCGTTGGCGTCCCTGAAGAGGAGGGCCAATCTAGGCGAACAATGTTCAGGCATGTGTGAAGCCGAAACTCCATTGCCCTGCCGGAGACCTTCAAACAGCCTGTGCCTGCATGGTGGTGCGCATTGTCAGTTTTGCCGTCTCATATCAAGTGTGTTTAGGCACTGCGTCCGGGCTTCGGTCAGTGTCTTGATCCCCTTTGCGGGCACCTGTTATGACCCATGTACCGACACCTTCTTCAGACAACCACCGGACCTTGTCGCTCGCGACTCTGGAAATCCCCCTGTTGACTTTTCGCCGTTGACCATTCACCACGGGCTTGGACATGTCCCGGACGTTTCAGCACCCCAGATTGCGTCACGTTTGACTTCCCCACTTGACGGGCTGCCAGACTACCCGACATATCAGGCATGAATCCATGACGCCGCCAGTTGGTTATTGGCTCGCAATTGCCGGCAGCAGATGCCACGGCCCAACGCAGGCCCGATGTCGAACTCAGCAGGCCCCATGACCAAGGAACACTGCGGGCCCTACGCCGCCCAGGTCACCAGTGCACCAGACAGCATCACCGAGCAGGAGTGCGCTTGTGACACCAACCTCTAGCATCTCTGGCGCGGTGTCCAGCACCTCAAGGGCTGCCAAACCTGCAGTTCTCTTGCTCCCGGCGACGCCTCGGCATCGATCCCTACCCTGCCTGTCTGGCCTGCATCAGTAGCTGGCCCTCTGCCGCAAATCCTGGTGAAAGCACGCCCAGCCACACCGATGACTCCAATGACTCCAATGACGCCGGCCACCCCAACGGCTTCAACTACAGCATGCCCACCTATGACCACAGCGCCGACCCCTATCGCACCGATCCCTACGGCAACTCCATCAGGTCAGATGCTTCCACCGCCCAACCCACCAGCCAGATCACGCCACACAACGGAGGGAGAGCGGTCACGTTCCCACAACACTTCAAGTCAGTGCCCCCACAGCGGCGAGGTCGAGCTCGCTCCAGGACGCCACCACCGATCTTCCGAAGGGACACAACATCGGATAATTCCACCACGGCAGCACCGGCTCTTGCCGTGTCGGCACCCACAGCAGCCAAGTCCTCATCCCGAGCGCCTACGGCAACTAAAGCTTCATCCCGACGACCGAGAAGCAATCGATCTCCACTTCCGCGCAGCAGAAGCAGTGCCCCATCGGCTCCAGCCTCAAAGGCCACAGGTGCTCACCCAGATGTGGGGTCGTCCTCGAGGAGCATGCAACTACGCCCAAATCCGCAGGCGCACCCACCGCTGATCCTGCTTCCCAACCCGGAGTCCGACCCGTGGAGGAACGAACTTCAGGTGCTTGCCGCACCGTACGTCCGCGAAGGGATCCCGGTCAATCAGGAGCAGATGGACTATGTGGCCGCTACCTTGAATGCAGCCGGCATACCGTCTCAGCACTCCACCCTGAACTATGCAAAGGTCAATCCGGAACATCACTTTTATAAGATCACTCCGCACTGGTTCATGCTGACCATCCCCTACCTTGGCGCTACAGTTCGGCTCAAAGAACCAACGAAGACGCGACCCATGCTGCTCTGGACTCACGCATCCAGTGTCGGCGGCACTAGAGGCATACTGCGGAGCCGACAGATCCATCCTTCCAGGCAGCACTCCTCGGAGTGCCCAGCCTTTTACGCCCAAGGCTGGAAGATCACTGGACACGCCGACTATGATGCTGAAGAAATTGCCCGCACGATGAGCCAGAACTGGAGTATGTCTTTCAACATGGCCCAATTGCTGCTGTTTGGACGCGCTGTCGGTACCTGTCAGCCGATTCGATCGGGAGGAGAGCAAGCTTGCATTGAGGCCCTGGATTCCAGTGAACGTCCTGACGTCATCCACTATGTGTCGGGCAAGTGTTGGATGGTGATTCCAGAAGCAAGCCAGATCGTTGGACTCGCATGGCCTACCGATACGAAGCCGCCCACAGGTGTCCTCCGCTCGTGAACCTGCACCAAGAGCTTCTGCAACCAATGACAATTTGTGATGTTTCATTGCGAATAAGAGCATCCTTCGCCACACTGCCGTCTTCGACCACCGACGATATTTTGCGACAAAAAGTGCACGCTAGAGCCTTACTCAAGCATGACTTTCTTGTTGGTCTTACTGCGGGTTCTTTCGCTTTTTGATGATTCGTTGTGACAACTGCTGTTTCCCGGTTTCAAAAAGCCCTGGGTCCGATTGCAAATCGGGTGCCGTTTCGACAATTTGTGCCGTATCCCTAGCTTTTAATCTATCAGCAAGTGTTGACGACGAACTCCCATCTCGTGATGGCTTCTCAGTGGAACTATTCATGGCCGGCGACATCGGCACCCTCCTCCTCTTCGCATCCGGGATCCTCGTACCTTCCATCATGGTCAGTACCGCAGTCCCAGCAGGAGGTCTATTTGAGCTCCAATCGGATGGAATCCTTGCAGCATCAACCTCGAGAGGAAGCAGCACCTCGTGTCAATCCTCTTCGGCCTCCACATATGGCTCACCAGTTTCCTCCTCAACCTCCCGGTCAGTTCTACAACTATCACGGTGGTGGGACAAACCACATGCAGACAGGTCCTCGTCCCCCACCACCAGCACCGCCAGTTCAACCTCCAGTTCGGGCACCTCTAGGCCAAGGTGATGCAACGCAGTACACTCAGCCTCGATATTCGCAGCTACTCCCTAGCACCTTCCAATCTGATGACATCTTTTTTCCCGATGGATTGCGCTGGTGGACAATCACGGAGGACGTACACCTGCTCTTCAGCAGGTATCACTCGGCTGTCCTCGAACCCTAATGAAGTAGTGCCTTGTTGGGCACCACCCCCAGTCGCAAAACCTACGGGCGTGCTGCTCTCGCGCACGCACTGCGGGTTGACTGAGCGTGGAAGGTCCGGGCGGAGTTCGACTCGCTGCTTCCAGTACACTGCGTTGGGCTGCGAGAAGTGGGTGAAGGTGTACATGTTCGGGTGGATGCGTAAACGTCGGAGTCGGCGTCTGAGTTCCGTGAGTGCATGCGTGGGACGACCGTAGTGATGAACCATCAGCAGCGTGGACATTGACTCGGCCCACATAGACAGTTGCTTGTTGACCATCGGCATGTTGAGGATTTGGCGACTCGTGACGATGATCAGATAGAGGACCTGATAATACTGGTAGGATGCATGCACATCGAGCGAGTCACCGAGTCTGATTGCAATAAGCGCCGTGAGGTAGGGAAGGAAATAATCGGTGCCATGCTGCAGGCTCACTGGCCAGGATGGCTCGGGAATACCATAGTGTCTGGCTGCACTGTAAAGTTCTGACCGTTCATACTTGCCGTAGAGCTGCCAAAGAAACACCGTCTCTGGAGATTGAATGACCGGCATGGCTTAGCCATGCATCCAACGCTCGAGCACTAAACGGTTAATTGGGTCAACTGGAAACAGCGGGGAAAAAAAACGCCGACCCGCGACCCCAAGAAAAACAGGAAAACGAAAAAAGAAGGAGAAAAGGCAGCTGATGGTCTTAGGGCAAGGTTCAAGCACGATGAGCAGCAGGCCTTTTGTGCCAGTCGTGTCACAAGGTGCTAACTTCCTTCCTGGTGAGCGCTACAGCCGCTCCTCTCACTTGCCATACATGTACAGAACCGTGATAAACTGCAAGAGTGCTCGCTTCGATCCCTTGCTCACTAAGGAGATTGGGGCCCCCCACTTGACTGCAATGGTTTTCAGCTGCTCCACCGTGTCCGATGCCAGCTCCTGCTTGATGAGATCGAGGTAGGTCGCTTGGTTGGACAGCGTGCGTTCGTGTAGCCATGCCTTGAAGACCTTGTCCGTGAGGCTGGTGGGAAGTGGTACCTGTTGCCCTTTGGGATTTCCCTGACGTAGAAGTTCTGAGTCTAGTGTGATGTCCGGGGCAGTCTCCTTTCGCTTTGCCGGTCGTCGCTTGGGGGCTGGATCAGCCTCCGGGGATGGAACTGGTAGGGGGGGTCCCTGAGCATCTGAGTTCGCCGCATTGATGTAGAGGGACTGGTCAGAGCGGCCGGGCGTGGGGGTCCAGGACGCGGCATTGGAAGGGGACGAGGATGGCTGCTTCTTATCCGGTGTAAGAGTGATGCCCTTGTTCTTGTAGCGCTCCAGCTGTTGTTCCAATTCGGCAATTTTGTGGCGAGTGAGGTTCTCCTGCTTGGCGGGCTGCAGCGACTCTATGAGATCCACGATTTTGAGCGCAAGTGGCTCCATAAACTGCATAGCCTCGTTGCGCTTATCCGGCGCATTGTCCGCGTGGAGAGAGCGAGCTGTCCTGTCGATGTCGACCTCCCTGCCTCTCAATGCTTTGAGAATGGATGTCAATAAGACCGCCTCGGCTATCGTCTGAGCCATGACTGGTGTGCTGTATCGCCCGTTTGACAGCGCTCGTAATGCGTGATCTTCTGCTCCTCCTCGAAGAAGTCGTGTCAATGGAAGATCCAGGATAGCTGTTCCTGCGAGCCCGACCCTTCTGGACCACTGAGTGGGTTGAACGTGACGGTACAGCTGCAGGCCGCGGACTTCCGTATACATTGGAAGCACCAGCATCACTTATCCTAGTCGAGAACACAATCGTAGGGCCAAGTTACTGGGTATTCAGCACGGACAGTTTATCAATGTGGAACCAGCCCTCAGATGGTGGCATCACTTCGGCAACTATGACGAGTTTGCTACATGGGTCATCCTGACAGACCCCGACCACGCGGTCACCTGGACCCAGGAACATGCCTTGATTAGCATTTATCAGCCGTCCCTCAATTGGCCCTATATTTATCGGCGGTACAAGCGCATCTCCACCGGCTATACGGCTACCAGGTTTCTTGCAGAACAGCCCTGGTCCAGGTTCGGCAAACGCCTTTTCCTCCGTTTGCGCAGGAGGAGCTGCACTGTCTATGGCAGGAACTTCCATCGGGTGGCACTCAAACACACCCAAGCCTGGTCCATCATCGCTCGCCTCACCTCGGAGCACATTGAATCCTGGGAGGAGGAAAAACGACTTCGTAGCGGACGGCATTCAGACTGGATATATATGCTATATACAGGCTGTCTGGCAATGTGGAACAGCCTCATCGGCATCGAGTTCGGAACATTCTGCGAAGAGTTCTTGATTTCCGTCAACTTCAGCAACCCAAGATCAACTTGTTATTGCGATTACCGTGGCTGTCCCATCCACATTATCAGCGGTCCACCAGGGAAGTGCTTCGTCGGCTCGTCCTCGACCATCGCAACTGGGCTCTTCCATTTCACTTGCCCAGTACGAAGTTGGCAGAGACCCCTCATCCTCGGGTCCATACAGTTATGTGGAACTTCTCGTCGTTTCAGGACTGCTACCTCCTGACATCCCCCGGACCATCATCGTGTCAGTGCGCAGCCTGGCTAAAACGTCAGCCCTGGCTATCTCACGTTCAAGGCCATGTGGCCGCGGGATTAGATGAGTTCCGGTTTCCGGGAACCCCTCAGCACGTTCATTACACCTCAGCGCTGGCGTCGTATTATGTGGACCTTTCAGTTTACGAAGTGCAGGTTCATGAACGCCTACGAAAATGGTGTTTGCACCACGGCCTGCCCCTGGACCAGTTCCACGCACCTCTCATGGAGCACCTACGCAGTCAATTTCAGAAACATCGGCAGCACGCGTCCACCCATCAGCTCCTTACCAAGCACCAACTGAACATCCTGCATCGACACCTCGGCCAGGATTTTGTGTGCCATAACGAGGATCACGACAACCACCACCTCATGTTCTTCTGCCCTCAACTCTACTTCAAAGGCCTCCACAACACCTGGCTTCAGTCAGGCACATTTGCCGCTACTCCACTGAAGCCCGATCAAGCCGGGGCTCTTATTGTTGAAGCTATTCCTCGGCACCTGCAGAAGAGGTACAAATGGGCATACAGGAAGAAGACCACCGCCATCCCGGTTGGCAAAGTTTTTCTCAAACGAAAGAAGCAATGGAAATCGGGGCGGACTATTATAGCCTACCATAAGGTGGTACATCGGCAGCTCTTCAAAGCGGTTGCAATCCTCCTCGGCGAGATCGCAGCGGTTACATGGAAGTGTTCGTGGGGGATACACCCCACGCCGAGGATATGGCAGAACGTCAAACATTACTTTGACAACACAGACGACACAGTCACCCTTGCATTCCACAATGACGATTTGGTCGGCTTCTTCAACAGTGTCCCTCAGGATCAAGTGTGCGCAGCAGTCGAGCAGCTATTAGCAGAGCACCGGCGAGAGCATCCTGGTCTCATCTATTCAGTGGAAACTCAGGCAGCTGTCCACTACAATCGGGTCTTTGCGGGTAAGCAATCCTACGGACGTACGCCGACCACGCGTGGAGGACATCTTGGATATCGTCAAATCCAGCTTCCAATGCATGTATGTCCAGGTGGGAACTCTCATCCTGCGCCAAGTCCACGGAGCTGAGCCCAGTTCTCAGCCACATCTGCGTCGCGAGGCACGAAGTTCTTTGGCAGCGTATCTACGGACAATGGTTCGCCAGTCACAATATCTTTTTGGAGCGATATGTCGACAACAGATTTGTGATCTTCCCGTCTCCGGCCTCCGGTCACCCAGCAGCTCCATTGGAGGCTCTGCTTCAAGCTGACTTTTACGGTGCCCCCATCGTGTTGGAACAGGTGGGATCTTCTGAGTTCCTCGGCTTCGTGATCGACGTGGGCGACCGTGCGATTTACTACAAAACCCCAACCAAAATCTGGCAGATCAGAGGACCCCGCACTGCAGGAAGTCTCTCCACCCTTCTCTCCGGGGCCAGATCACGGTCAGCCCTCGCCACCAAGTACGCGCACCCGGCCCGAGCAGTGCAGATGGCACTGGATCAGCTCCGCAGTATTTATTTGTCCGCCGGTTACAAGTCAGCTGACCTGCAGCACCTGTTTCATCTTCCGGCGATCCCAACCAGAAAGAACGCTTAAGTGCCAGTTGTCGCTGTTTTTCGATGCTTGGCTTTGTGGCTCGCTCTTGTTGTTTTTGTTTCGGTCTTCTTCCGGACCGGGTTTGGCTCGTTTGGGCTGTTGCGTTCGGGTGCTCTTCTTCTTCTGTTTGGGTTCCGGGGTCCCTTGACTCTTGTGTTGATCACGGAGCTCGTTCGCTGGTTCAAGACGTGGGCCTTCTCGCCGACATCGGAAAGCGGTCGTCATGCTCGGACGCATGATAGCACTTCACCACCGTATGACCCAGAACGCTGCGGACATGATGCAGCTCATCCAGGAGACCTTGAATCAGGCTGACGAGGCACACAGTCGCCGGCATCATGACGGGCAAGGTCGCTTGCGGCAACAACATGTCCGAGGCCTGTCGCTGGCAGAATCATCGCGACCACGAGCACATGATCATGCTGGATTCGATGAGGTGGACCCACCTGGCCCGGTGATCCTGAATTCGGTCAACTCGGAGACTCCGGCCGACCCTCCACCACCAGTCGGCTTTCAGTCACTCCAGCTACACGCGGACCATAGGCACAACGCAGTGGCCAACCCCAAGTCGTTGTCCTACGGCATCATCACGGGGGACACCAACGAGGCTATAGACCCGCGCTCGAAGAGCCCCATGGCGCACACCTATGCTGGTCAGCTGAGCATCAAGAAGGCCAATATTCCTCGCTCCATCATGGACAAGACAGGCACGGACCGACGCCGAACAAAGCGGAAGAGATGCCGCGCTACATCTTCCGAGAACACGAACTCCCCAGAGCCTCCGGCGCCTCCAGCATCTCGCACTCCAGCACCTGCTCCGGTATCTCCTTGCACTGGACTGTTCTCCTCTCCTGAATCTCTTCCTGAACCTCCTCCTCATGCTCACTCCGATGCCGGCAACCCCGGAACTCCCCCAGAAGTACCTCGGGCCTGGACAGAAGAAGATGACCAGCAGCTCTGCAGCTTGAAGGGAGACAGCCGGTCCAAGTACTCGTACAAGTCGCTGGCCAAGAAGCTCAACCGGTCCATCGCGGATGTCACGCAGCGCTGGAAGAGTCTGGAGCGCCTCAGGAAGGTGAAGGAACAGCATCAGAAGGCCACCGGAACTTAGGCGGTGAAGCCACATGTCAAAATGGCCGCAAGTAGGCGAGCACAGGCAGGAGTTCCACAAACAGACCAAATCACCCATCGGGAATTATGATGGAGGCGGCTTTCAGAACTTGGCGGTTTCTCTGAGTGTTGAGTTTCGGGCTGTTTTGGTTCTTTTTCCCCCTGCGGGGGGTGTGTGTGTGGCCCCCCTGTTCCTAAGGGGTTTTGCGGTCGTGCCTTTCTCTCTTTATTGGAGTCGAACGCCACCTTGCTGGATGTCTCAACATGAAGTAGTGTCACCTGCCGATGGCGTTCCTGAAGAGGATGGTCGGTGGCACGAAAGATGTTTGAGCATGCAGTAAGCCGAAACTCCATTGCCCTGCCGGAGACCTTCAAACAGCCTGTGCCTGCATGGTGGTGCGCATTGTCAGTTTTGCCGTCTCATATCAAGTGTGTGTGTGTGTGTGTGTGTGTGTGTGTGTGTGTGTGTGTGTGTGTGTGTGTGTGTGTGTGTGTGTGTGTGTGTGTGTGTGTGTGTGTGTGTGTGTGTGTGTGTGTGTGTGTGTGTGTGTGTGTGTGTGTGTGTGTGTGTGTGTGTGTGTGTGTGTGTGTGTGTGTGTGTGATGTGTGTGTGTGTGTGTGTGTGTGTGTGTGTGTGTGTGTGTGTGTGTGTGTGTGTGTGTGTGTGTGTGTGTGTGTGTGTGTGTGTGTGTGTGTGTGTGTGTGTGTGTGTGTGTGTGTCTGTGCGCATGTGTGTGTGTGTGTGTGTCCGCGTGTGTGTCCGCGTGTGTGTCCGTTTGTGTATGTGCGTGTCTGCGTCCGTGTTTGTGTTTGCTTGTTTTGGCGTGTTTTTGTTTGTGTTTTTTGTGTGTGTGTTTTTTGGCCGTGCTGTCTTTTGTGTCGGGTCTTGGCTTTTTGCTTGAATGGAAGCGGAAGAACACCACTCACTTGTCTTTTGTTGTCATGTGGACTACCTTGTTCGGATCTTTAAACGGGGGTTTCTCAAAATGGCTCTTCTTGGGGTGCTCGGAATCAAAGGAAACCCATGTGGAACTTTTTTGAGAAGCGACTGATTGGATCTTCCGGAAGGCGCCGGAGGCTTCGAAGCTCTCGGAATTATTCAACGCCGGCACCTCGACTCCGAAAAGAATCGACTGCCGAACTTCAAGTGGCAGCACTTGGATGTTGATGTCCAAGTGTGGTAGGTTAGGCTGGTTTCGGTACATAAGAATGGTTTCGGTATGATTCGGTATAGGTATGGTTACAGCTTACTTGCCAGGCTGGACTTCAAAGTGAATGTTGGGGGGAACCTAGTCTTGCTGCTGCTCCGCAGGGAATACTGGAATGACTCCTACACACCATCCCCTATGGTTTCCTTCAAGGGAATCCCCAGGTTCATCCCCTCGTTCCCTATTGCACCAGCGAGTTGAAGAGGCGGTCTCTCAAATGTTTGAAGCGGTCCATTTTTTACCGGGCTCCTTAAAAGATCTCCATTTTGCCACCATTTGAAACCACGTTGCATTTTTTCAACACCAAAATCGAGAAATGGAAACAACACCATTTACAAGGCAGGCCAGCAATGTTCAGGTGTATTCACTGCATCCGGGATCCCTGGGGGCCTTTGCTTCTTCTCTTTCCCCAGGCCACCAGGCCAGGATTTGCTTCCCTCCAAAGGGGCAAATGTTTTTTCCTTAGATGAGCCACGTGCTCAAAACCGATTCGGGTAGATGAGGGTTAGTAAGGGAGGATCCCAAGAAATAGCTTCAGATCTCCGCCTTCGGAAAGTTCGGAAGCATGGTTCTGGATGCACCATTTTTGTACCGGGTTTTGATTGTGACTCAGATGACACCAGCTTTGCATGAATGACACCAGGCTCTTTTTTCCAGGGGAAACTTCAAGCGGAAAGCTTTCCGCCGTGGTTGTTTTTGGGCGGGAGGTCGGAGGTCCTAGGTTTATTCTCCCTAGGGATGGGCATTGTTTCTAAATGAAGTTCAGCCCCAGCTGCGCGGGAAACCGGAACCGCTTTTCGGATGGATTCCATGGAGCCCAAGACACCACCGAACATGTGTCCCCAATCTTGAGAAACCGGAGCAAGTTTGAACGACTTCGTGAAACGACCACCCCGCCTCCAACCAGGAAGGCAATTTCGAATAACGCAGTCTGGAGAAGCACTTGGCCGGCATGCCAAAACTGGTGGATTTCAGGCAGTTTCCCATTCCAGTAATGTTCGTCGGTTTGACAAAGTTGGCTTTGCCAATCCGCTCAGGACAGGAGCTCCATTTCCACGTAGTTTCAGGTGGCCTTGCCACTCATTTCCGGGGTCCTTTGGCAACAGCATTGCTGCTATTTGGCCGTAACTTGCGATTTCCCCAAAGGGAAGCTGAAATCATAAACGTTCATGTTTTCATTTTTGCCAGCCCAAGTGAACAACCTGTCGTCCCAAGGAAAGGTTTACTTGTTTATGTTCCCCGACCTCCTCCCCTACAACGCCCAGCAAGCCACAAGTGAAACCCCGGTAGACCAAGGATAGTCAAAAGAGAGTCCCAGCCTGGAGTGTCTGGTTGTGCTGAGGACTGAGGCGGTAGTGGTTCTAAGGAAGAAAAGGGGTTATTCTTTGTGTTTCCCGAAAGCATCGCGAAGGGTTCTTCCGTGCGGAGCCCTTGAAGTCACTTGCGTAGAGCGACTTGCACAGAGCAACTTGTGCAGAGAGACTTGTGCAGATTCACTTGGCCCTTGCACTATCTCGCGCGGAGCTGTTTGCGCAGAGCAACTTGCACAGAACTACTTGCACAGAGCGACGTGCGCAGAGCTCCTTGCGCAGAGAATCTTGCGCAGAGTAGCTTGGAGCAGCTTGCGCGGAGCAACTGAGCAACTTGCACAGAGTAGCCCATGCAAAGAGACTTGCGCAGCGTGTACTCGGTTTAGAGCCTGTGCAAGTTGCTCTGCGCAAGTTGCTCCGCGCAAGTTGCTCTGTGCAAGTTCCTTTGCTCAAGTGGTTGGGTGGCTGGGGTCGGGAGCTTGGGTAGGGAGCTTGCGTAGCGCTTCGGCATTAACTACGTAGCTTCTAGGGTGCCGGGGGCAAAGCCTGAGGACTTCTTCTTTTTGCGGATGAGTCTTTGGTTCTTTATCTCGTGGCTTGCGCGCGTGTCCTGGGGGCGTGTTGTTGGGATTTACGGGTCCCGGGTCAACTCCCCCTTGCTCACAAGCAGGCTTCGCAAGCGAAAATCGCAACATGTCAGCAATTACTAAAGTAGCTGCTCTAGCTTGAGCGTCGCAGCTAAAGTAGCGCTCGCAGCACGCTCCCGCAGCTCCAGCTCCAAATGCCACACCTTTTGAGCTCACAGGGAGCCCAGTGCATTGTTCAAGCCGCGCACTGAAACTGGCAGATAGAAAATACGCAGGGGAACTTGCGCAGAGCAGCTTGGCAGAGCCTCTGGCGCAGAGCAACTTGAACAGAGCAACTTGCGCAGAGCAACTTGCGCAGAGTAACTTGCACAGTGCCGCTTGCGTTAGCTTGCGCAGGGCAACTTGCGCAGAGCAACTTGCACAAGGCAACTTGCAGAGTGCAACCTGCGGAGAGATATTTTTACAGAGTTCAAGTGGCTTGCGCGGCTGGCGGGTATGGCTTTCGTGTTGTGTGTGTGTGTGTGTGTGAGTGAAACACCCCGGTGTGGCAATGCCAGTGCATTGGGCAACAATGCTTTCGGGCAATTCGTCTTCCAGTCGTTTCCCGGCTCCCTGAATTTAACACCTTGTCAGGCATCGGGCATTGTGAGAAAGGGAGCCAGTGGCAATTGGCTTTGGACCTGCTGGAAGCCATGCCAGCGGCGCGCGCGGTGCCAGACGTGTTGAGTTTCTTGGGCACCATCCGCGCGTGTGAGAAGCGAGGCGTGTGGCGGATGCCTGAATCAATCCCAGTATAGTTACTGCTGTTTTTTCTAACATCTTTACCCCTCTCCTCCGTTACTTGGAATCGTGTCAGTACGCAAACAAAAAAACTTCACCATGCCATAGTTGCGGGGAACTTCCGTCCTACTCGTGTGGACAACCTCGCTACAAAGGTTTAGGGGGGTGGGGTGGGGTGGGGTGGGGTGGGGTCCTGCTGCGCAGCCAACACACTTTCCACCCCTTGGTTCTGGCAACCACCAAAACAAATTCCTTGTTTCTGTGGAAACGTTTTCCACGAAATCATCAACCGCCAAACCTGTGTTTTGGTGAGGATGCCTTTTGTTCCATGGAACAACCACCGAAACAAGAATTCATTTTTTCGAGCAGCATTATCAGGGCTTTTTCCTCCGGCTTGAACACCCACCAAAAGCAAGGAATTCGTTTGTTTGTCCCCCACTGGGGTTTCCCAAGGACGGCCTTGGGCTTGCTGAAGGCCATGGACACTGCGGAGGTTTCGCCGGACGCACGGACCTTCAATGCCGCCATCGCCTGCTGCGAGCCCCGAGGTCACTGGCAGCTAGCGTCGCATCTGCTGGAGGCCATGACCGAATCGCAGCTGCAGCCCAATGCCACCACCCGCACCTTGATGCGCGGCTTCGGAAGTGTGGAATTTTGCTTTTGATCTCCCTTTAAACTGAAAAATGGAAACATAAAAGCACCCATAGCGATTCCTTGGACTTAATTTTAGGTTTGACATATCGCGCTTAAACTTCAGCATTTACGGGATCAAGGACGCACTAAGGATGATCGCGTGCTGCAAGGCACATTGGCCGCTGGCGCTTCATTTCCTGAACATGGCAGAAGGAGCAGCAGAAGACGAGGTCCGCAGCTGGAACGCGGCTCTGGCTGCCTGTGCGCGCGCCAGGCAGCGTCGGACAATTACAGTAGGGCCATGTTCTATGTCTCCCTAATTGCCAAAAGTAGTCAGAGGGCTGGGAATCCTGTGAATCGTCCAACTGTGCCAAGCAGATGGCTTTCCAAACGTGAAACAAGAGGTGCAACAATGATGGCGGACGGCTACGTCGTTTTTTTTTACTGTGCCAGGCAGTGGCAAATGGCTTTCCATCTCTTCAACGTCTCTGCTTCGGACGTCGAGACGCTGCTCCCAAGCCTGCCGCAGGATCTGGGCCTTGCGGCCTTGGAGTCTGCAGTCCGCGAGGGGAGGCTGACCTTGGAGTGTGCCCGTGGCACATCGCTGGGGTTCCGGAGCCCGGGCTTGAAGCTTTTTGGGTTGGGTCCGGAGGAGTCAACGACACAGGGGCGTGTACCATTCCTTCCAAGACTTCACAGGGCGATCCTCCCCGAGGCAATCGTTGCTTTGTGTGCCTGGCAAAAATCAAAGGTGATCACCGATCGGGACCTCTAAGCATCGCAACACAATTTGGGGTTGTTTTTGTCTCGGAGTTCTTTTCAATTTGGTACGGGAAACAATCAGGACAACTCCATTTTGGTGTCGTCCTATTTTGTCCGCGTCAATTATGTGTTTTTGATTTTGCCATACTGGAAACCAAAAGGAGACGTCCACTCCATCAGGCAGACCCCCCCGTCCCCCCGCCCGGGGCAGCCACCGTCCACTCCGTGGTTGTTGTTGGGAAACATGTTACATGTTGGCTTGTGGTTGAGTGGTTGAAATCCAACCACTGAACTGCTATGTTTTCTCAATTTTTGCTCCCCTTCCAATGTCAACCAAGAAGAGGAACCCCATCGCTCAATGTGGATTATGGCAAATTCAATGAAGGATAGTTGAGACTCTGGGATTCTCTAGGGATATATATATATATATTCCCCTGGAATACTCAAGTTTTTGGCCAGAAATTGTCATTTTGCCAAAAACTTGAGTGTTCCAGGGGGGTACCATATATATTTCTATATACCCATTGCAACCAATGAAATAGGGGTTATCTCCAAGAGCTCCAGGTACCCCTCGTGCGCTTGAGCTGCGGGGCGTCTGGGCCGCGCCGCAGCTCAGCGGCCTGGCGACCCGCTGGTGGCTCAAGGCCCATGTGGCCCCGGAGCTCGCCCAGCGCCGCAAGCAGTACAGGCCTTTGCTGGAGCCGGAGCTCACCGGAAAGTGAAATTGGTTGACTAAAGGGGTATGATATATATATATATATATGGTACAGCGTTGCCAGCCCCCACCCCCCCCCCCCAATGGTCGGGTCAGACAAGTACCCCCCCCTGTGGTTGTGGTCCGGTGGTTGGGTTGTGGTGGTTTAGGGTTGGTTTAGGATTGGTTTAGGGTGTATTTAGGGTGTATTTAGGGTTGGTTTATGTTGATTTAGGGTTGGTTTAGGTTTAGAGGTTTACAGTTTAAGGTTTGGTTTTGGGTTTGGTTTAGGGCGTATTTAGGGTTGGTTTAGGTTAGTTTAGGGTTGGTTCATGGTTGGTTGCGGGTTGGCTTGTCCTGGGGGTGGGGGTGCCGGGGTGTCGGGGTGCGAGTTTGGGGGGTCGGGGTGAGGGTGGGACCGTAGGTGCCAGAATCCGGGGGCTCGGGGTCTCGGGTTGGGGGGGGGGGTCCTGGGGGACCCACACCATCTCGGGGGGGGGGGGGGGTGGGGGTAGCAACACGGAACACGGGACCATATATATATAGATATACACACATATACATAGACTAAAGAGTATAAATCTAGGGATGTTTGCATCGCCAGTTGTCACCGGAAAGGATCGGTGGCTGGAAAGGAGCGGTTGCCGATCTTCCATTTGCTGAAAAGAAGAAGATGATGTTATTTTCCCCTGTTGGTTTCCAAGGGAAGCGATTTCATCGCTGGACATTTCTTTTTCCAGGGGACTTAAGCAAATGGAGTTCTTAAGGACTGATGTTGGACAACTAGAGGGGTATAATCATATATATTTCTATATATATATATATATACATAGGGAGAGATAGACCAACACCTCGGTCTATGAGGGGGAGGGGTAGCATATATATATATATACATATATATATATATACATATATATATATACATATATATATACACATATATATATATACACAAAAATACATTATTTATCATTTGGAGAACGCTTGACGTTTTCCTGTGGATCTACTGGGATGCTTTATCGCCCACACCCGGGATTGGCCAGGTAGAGATGTCAGCTCGCTTTCTTCTTAGACATTTTGGTTCCCCTCAAAAAGCGAGAGATGGTCTGGTTGTTGAAACAGATTTTGGTTAACCAACCCGGAACAGAGGTTGGGGACCGGGAGGTTCTGAAGAATTCGGGCGCTTCAACTGGTTTCAACCGGGAAGCCAAACGAAACCAACGAAATCTATTCAGCTTGGGCATATTTGGACACCAACCCCCATCTAGGTCCCCCAGTGCCTTTTTTACCCACTTTTTTGGCTGGGAGGACCAAAAATTGGTCAGAAAAAAATAAGCGCAGGTGATATCCCCAACAGCATGCGGTGCTCTTTTTAGTGCTCGCACCACCCCGCAGCCCTCGTAGAACCTCGTGGAATGCTGGTGGAACCCTGGTGGAACCCTGGTGGAACCCTGGTGGAACCTGGCCGCCCCGAACCACCCCGGAGCCTATCTGGGCTGAGCCCAAAGCTTTCAGCTGTTGGGGAATAACAAAAACTTTAGAGCCTCCGGCTCAGTCCGCCGACATTGTCCTCTCCCTTTTCTCCTTCTTCCTCTCTCCCTTGTCTCCCTGGTGTGTTCTGTCGTCCTCTCTCCCTCCCTCTGCTCCCCAACCTCCCCATCCCCCCAAGCCTCTCTCTCCCCAATCTCCCTCTCTCGTATGTATGTATGTATGTATGTATGTATGTATGTATGTATGTATGTATGTATGTATGTATGTATGTATGTATGTATGTATGTATGTATGTATGTATGTAATGTAACGTAACGTATGTATGTATGTATGTATGTATGTATGTATGTATGTATGTATGTATGTATGTATGTATGTATGTATGTATGTATGTATGTATGTATGTATGTATGTATGTATGTATGTATGTATGTATGTATGTATGTATGTATGTATGTATGTATGTATGTATGTAATGTATGTATGTATGTATGTATGTATGTATGTATGTATGTATGTATGTATGTATGTATGTATGTATGTATGTATGTATGTATGTATGTATGTATGTATGTATGTATGTATGTATGTATGTATGTATGTATGTATGTATGTATGTATGTATGTATGTATGTATGTATGTATGTATGTATGTATGTATGTATGTAATGTATGTATGTATGTATGTATGCATGTATATATGTATGTAATGTATGTACGTATGTATGTATGCATGTATGCATGTATGCATGCATGCATGTATGTATGGAATGCATGTATGTATGTAATGCATGTATGCATGTATGTAATGTTATGTAATGTATGTATGCAATGTCTGCATATATGTATATATGCATGTATGTATGTAATGTATGTAATATATGTATGTATGTATGTATGTATGTATGTAGTGTATGTATGTATGTATGTATGTATGTAATGTATGTATGTATGTATGTATGTATGTATGTATGTATGTATGTATGTATGTATGTATATGTATGTATGTATGTATGTATGTATGTATGTATGTATGTATGTATGTATGTATGTATGTATGTATGTATGTATGTATGTATGTATGTATGTATGTATGTATGTATGTATGTATGTATGTTGTAATGTATGTATGTATGTATGTATGTATGTATGTAATGTATGTATGTATGTATGTAATGTATGTATGTATGTATGTATGTATGTATGTATGTATGTATGTATGTATGTATGTATGTATGTATGTATGTATGTATGTATGTATGTATGTATGTATGTATGTATGTATGTATGTATGTATGTATGTATGTATGTATGTATGTATGTATGTATGTATGTATGTATGTATGTATGTATGTATGTATGTATGTATGTATGTATGTATGTATGTATGTATGTATGTATGTATGTATGTATGTATGTATGTATGTATGTATGTAATGTATGTATGTATGTATGTATGTATGTAATGTATGTATGTATGTATGTATGTATGTATGTATGTATGTATGTATGTATGTATGTAATGTATGTATGTATGTATGTATGTATGTATGTATGTATGTATGTATGTATGTATGTATGTATGTATGTAATGTATGTATGTATGTATGTATGTATGTATGTATGTATGTATGTATGTATGTATGTATGTATGTATGTATGTATGTATGTATGTATGTATGTATGTATGTAATGTAATGTAATGTAATGTAATGTAATGTAATGTAATGTAATGTAATGTAATGTATGTAATGTAATGTAATGTAATGTAATGTAATGCAATAATGTAATGTATGTGTAATGTAATGTAATGTAATGTAATGTATGTATGTTGTGAATGTAATTGTATGTATGTATGTATGTAATGTAATGTATGTATGTATGTAATGTATGTATGTATGTATGTATGTATGTATGTATGTATGTAATGTATGTATGTATGTATGTATGTATGTATGGTATGTAATGTAATGTAATGTAATGTAATGTAATGTAATGTAATGTAATGTAATGTAATGTATGTATGTATGTATGTAATGTATGTATGTATGTATGTATGTATGTATGTATGTATGTATGTATGTAATGTATGTATGTATGTATGTATGTATGTATGTAATGCATGTATGTATGTATGTATGTATGTATGTATGTAAGTAATGTATGTATGTATGTATGTATGTATGTATGTATGTATGTATGTATGTAATGTATGTGCATGTATGTATGTTGTATGTATGTATGTATGTATGTATGTATGTATGTATGTATGTATGTATGTATGTAATGTATGTATGTATGTATGTATGTATGTATGTATGTATGTATGTATGTATGTATGTATGTATGTATGTATGTATGTATGTATGTATGTATGTATGTATGTATGTATGTATGTATGTATGTATGTATGTATGTATGTAAGTATGTATGTATGTATGTATGTATGTATGTATGTATGTATGTATGTATGTATGTATGTATGTATGTATGTATGTATGTATGTATGTATGTATGTATGTATGTATGTATGTATGTATGTATGTATGTATGTATGTATGTAGTATGTATGTATGTATGTATGTATGTATGTATGTATGTATGTATGTATGTATGTATGTATGTATGTATGTATGTATGTATGTATGTATGTATGTATGTATGTATGTATGTATGTATGTATGTATGTATGTATGTATGTATGTATGTATGTAATGTATGTATGTATGTATGTATGTAATGTATGTATGTATGTATGTATGTATGTATGTATGTATGTGTGTATGTAATGTCGTAATGTATGTATGTATGTATGTATGTATGTAATGTATGTATGTATGTATGTATGTATGTATGTATGTATGTATGTATGTATGTATGTATGTATGTATGTATGTATGTATGTATGTATGTATGTATGTATGTAATGTATGTAATGTATGTATGTATGTATGTATGTAATGTATGTATGTATGTATGTATGTATGTATGTATGTATGTATGTATGTAATGTATGTATGTATGTATGTATGTATGTATGTATGTATGTATGTATGTATGTATGTAATGTATGTATGTATGTATGTATGTATGTATGTATGTATGTATGTATGTATGTATGTATGTATGTATGTATGTATGTATGTATGTATGTATGTATGTATGTATGTATGTATGTATGTATGTATGTATGTATGTAATGTAATGTAATGTAATGTAATGTAAGTGTAATGTATGTATGTATGTATGTATGTATGTATGTATGTATGTATGTATGTATGTATGTATGTATGTATGTATGTATGTATGTATGTATGTATGTATGTATGTATGTATGTATGTATGTATGTATGTATGTATGTATGTATGTATGTATGTATGTATGTATGTAATGTATGTATGTATGTATGTATGTATGTATGTATGTATGTATGTATGTATGTATGTATGTATGTATATGTATGTATGTAATGTATGTATGTATGTATGTATGTATGTATGTATGTATGTATGTATGTATGTATGTATGTAATGTATGTATGTATGTATGTATGTATGTATGTATGTATGTATGTATGTATGTATGTATGTAATGTATGTATGTATGTATGTATGTATGTATGTATGTATGTATGTATGTATGTATGTATGTATGTATGTATGTATGTATGTATGTATGTATGTATGTATGTATGTATGTATGTATGTATGTATGTATGTATGTATGTATGTATGTATGTATGTATGTATGTATGTATGTATGTATGTATGTATGTATGTATGTATGTAGTATGTATGTATGTATGTATGTATGTATGTATGTATGTATGTATGTATGTATGTATGTATGTATGTATGTATGTAATGTATGTATGTATGTAATGTATGTATGTATGTAATGTAATAATGTAAATGTAAATGTAATGTAATGTATGTACGTAATGTATGTATGTAATGTATGTATGTATGTATGTATGTAATGTATGTATGTATGTATGTATGTATGTATGTATGTATGTATGTATGTATGTATGTATGTATGTATGTATGTATGTATGTATGTATGTATGTATGTAATGTATGTATGTATGTAATGTATGTATGTATGTATGTATGTATGTATGTATGTATGTATGTATGTATGTATGTATGTATGTAATTGTATGTATGTATGTATGTATGTATGTATGTATGTATGTATGTATGTATGTATGTATGTATGTATGTATGTATGTATGTATGTATGTATGTATGTATGTATGTATGTAATGTAATGTATGTATGTAATGTAATGTAATGTAATGTAATGTATGTATGTATGTATGTATGTATGTATGTATGTATGTATGTATGTATGTATGTATGTATGTATGTATGTATGTATGTATGTATGTACATATGTATGTATGTAATGTAATGTAATGTACTGTAATGTAATGTAAACTAATGTAATGTAATATAATGTAATGTTGTGTAATGTAATGTAATGTAATGTAATATATGTCTGTATGTCTGTCTGTTTGTCTGTATGTATGTATGCATCCTTGCACTTCCCCTTTGCTCCCCAGTATTTCCCGCAAACAACACGGTTTTTCCAGCGTTTTCGCCAAGAGGATGTCCAAAAACACAGAGTTTTGCCAGATTTTCGGCAAAAGGATGCAGGAAGCCCAAGCCAGCAAAAAAGCCGGCAGGGGGAATCGAGCCTGGGACCCCTGTTTTGCGACACCGGCTCCCCGAAGACTACGTTTAGTGGAACGTCATCAAATTGCCGCGCGGTTTTTGGGGGGGGGAGGGGGGGCCCCCCCCCACGTATCAGACGTCGGGTGGGGGGGGGGTTAGGGGGGGGGGTTATCCTCTATCCTATCCTCTCTTAGGTGTCCGACACGCCGAGCAATGTCGGCGGATATAAGATCAAGACCCGTGACCTCTTAGATTGATTGGGGTGCGTTTTTGTTTTTTTTGGCTGATGACACGCAAGCACAGATTCATGTTCGATCCAATGAAGACTCAGATGCATCCAGACCTGGAAAATGAGCTAGCCAGGAATCTGAAAAAACTCAGCCCCCATGACGACCCCTTCTGTAACCTTGACATGCAGAATCTGTATCTTGAATTGTCTTCACTTTGAACCTTATCCGGCCTTCTCAGTCTCTTTTGAGTGTAACTGGTCCTGTGTTTGCATTTTCAACCTTATCTTTTGCTTGTGGCAGCCCCTTTTGCGCTCAAGCTTCAATATCCCGGTATAAGCTAAAGGAACTATGGACGAGTACCATCAGCTTGCCAAGGCCAGATCTTTGATACTTCATTCTTCTGCTTCTTTTCCGCCACACGCAGGCGATGAATCTCAGTGAGGATGAGCTGGTGGCCATGGCCATCGCAGAATCCAAGCACGGTGCTAAGGAGCTGGGCTTGGAATGGAAGGACAGGGACTTAACCTTTCTTGATTCTATGGGTGGTGGTGCATGCGTTAAAGAGAGACGAAGAAAGACGAAGAGCAGAGAAGAGAAGAGAAGAGAAGAGAAGAGAAAAAGAGAGAAGAGAAGTTGGGTTTTCGGGTTTAACCTTCTCTTGTCAGGACTTCGATGCCCTCCTGAACGAAAGTGGACTGGTGCGGGCCAGGGTCGCAGGCGACGGCTTGTGCCAGTACCACGCCTTCAGGGTTGCCGGCATGGCCGCCGGCCTGCCGGTCCCTGCTGAGAGTATGCAGCTCAGGGCCCAGGTCTGGCAACACCTCCAGGACAAATTGCGAGACCTTATCTTTACTTTTCAGCCTTATCTTTCAAAAGGTGCCACAACATGTCCACCTTATCTTTCGTAACTGTGAGATTCAACCTTATCTTTCTTAACTGTCCAGGACAATTGGGAGGAGTACGAGGGCTTCATGGAGGGTGATTGGGACTCGTACATGTGGGAGTTGCTGCAAAAGGAAACATGGGGAGATCACCTGACACTCAATGGAAGTGGATCCGGAGACGGAAGACCGCGTGTTGCAGACTGACACCTTATCATTGTGTCAAACCTTACGAGTTCGACCTTATCTTATCATTGCGCCAAACCTTTGGATGTGAAATTCAAAAAATCAGTGACAGGAAATGCATGACGATGCCGTCCTCTATCTGGAAGAGGATGATGCGTGCCCAGCTGTTGTTGGGCTAGTAGCCGTACTTTTTGTTTGTGTGTTTAAGGTTTAGGGCTTGGCTTGGGCTGCTGGGCTGATGGGCGGTTGGGCTGGTTTGCCTGGGCTGTTGCTTTTGCTGGGCATGGGCATGTAACTGAAAAACTTGTGTTTCTGCTGTTCTGTTGGGCTGCTTCCTTTTGAAGGGTTTCCAACCCTCACATTGCATTGCAAAGATAAGGTGGAGAAGCCTTCCTTTTGAAAGGTTTTTAACCTTAACCTTGAAATTCAAAGCAAAGAAATTTCCAACCTTCACATTGCAAAGATAAGGTGGAGAAGCCTTCCTTTTGAAAGGTTTCTAACCTTAACCTCGCAAGACTCTCCTTTTGAAAGGACTCTCCTTGTAAAAGGGTTTCCTTTTGAAAGGACTCTCCTTGTAAAAGGGTTTCCTTTTGAAAGGGTTCTCCTTTTGAAAGGACTCTCCTTTTGAAAGGGCTGTCCTTTTGAAAGGGTCTTCTTTTGAAAGGGTTCTATGCTTTTATTGAAGGCAGATAAGGTGGAGAAGTGTACACCTGGTTCAGGAGCATGGCTTTTACTTTCGAGCGCTGTGATGAGGTTCATATGTGCCGGAGCAAGGTTCAAAACCATGCCGCAGGCTGCAAGGGGGAGAATGAAGTTTGAAAATGTTCTTGCCGCGCTCACTTCTTGCCCTTCCTCGCTTTCTTGGCAGCTTTGTTCTTCTCATCTTCCTCTTCCTCGTCGTCCTTGCCGCGGCGAGTGACCGCATGAAGCTGCTGGGAGATGAGCCGTGAGTCCGCAAGGTGGTAGTGCTTCAAGGAGGTGCCAGCGTCGTGGCCCAGGAATTTCTGCAGGGTTCTTTGGTTTTGCAGAGTGGAGAGTAGCGCAGGATTCGATGTGAGCATGGCCTCCGCAGCTGTCCTGATGTCAGTGGAGGGCGTCTTACCCACCATTTTCACAAGCTTCCGGAATTTGTCGTGGGGCAACATCCTCCAGATCACCTTCTCCCCAAAGCCCTTTCTCACCTCCGGCTTGATGCTGCCTTGGCCGTGGACCCAGACAAGGTGGGGCTGGTCCGTTTCCATGAACTGGAGGAACATCCGTGTCCACTCCTTCGAGAGCAGCTTCTTGGCCACAAAGTAGCCCTTGCTCATCCGCTTTGCCTTCTTTGTCTTTGTGGGTGCAATGCCAGCCGGTACGAACTCGAAAGTGTCGTTCTTCCGGCTCCGCCGGAGGGTGCGGTGTAGCACCTTGTGGATGAAAGAGACAGGTTGAAAAATCTCACAGTCAAGAAAGATAAGGTTGGAAAATCTCACAATTGACAAAGATGAGGTTGGAAAATCTCACAATTGACAAAGATAAGGTTGGAAAATCTCACAATTGACAAAGATAAGGTTGGAAAATCTCACAATTAACAATGATAAGGTTGGACAATCTCACAATTAACAAAGATAAGGTTGGACAATCTCACAATTAACAAGGATAAGGTTGGAAAATCTCACAATTAACAAAGATAAGGTTGACAAATCTCATAGCTAAGAAAGATAAGGTGGAATGATAAGGATGTTCCTCTAAAAGCAGACAAGGATCGAGCTTCCAGACCGCGCCGATCCTCTCACACGTCTCCATGATTGCGACTGCCGCAAGGTACGCAGCCTTGTAGGTGGCAAGCCTGTACTTCATGTAGTTTTTGGCAGCCTCATCGGTGTCGTCCGGCAGGTTGGCTATGCGCTTCTTGAGCTTCCGGATCTTGTCTAAGAACGCTTCCGCCATGCCCATAATCTGCGGGGCAGTGAGCGGATCTTCCTCATCCTCGGTGTCTTGGACGTCCTTGCGCGGGGCTGGCAGGCCAGGTCCTGCAATGGCACGGGCTTCCTCAGAAGTCTTGCCAAAGGCCCGCGCAACGTCATTCCATTTCTGCATCTTCGCCGCTTCATCCTTCTTGCGGCTCAGCTTGCCCACAAGCAAAACCTGCTGGCACGCCACCAGGTTCCGTGTGACCAAGCGGATGGCCCCTGGGGTGTAGGGCTTCTTCCGGACCGTGTCATCTTCTTCCAAGTGAAGAAAGTAGGCCTTCAAGCACTTCTTTTCCTTCAGCGCCAGGGCCGGGTCAACCTTCAAAACGTCCGTGAGCAAGTCATGCTTCTTCAGCCAACCAATGTACCTAGTCTCACAGAAACATGGAGAGTGGATGAGGTAGAAAAAAAGGACCGTGGCAAACAAGATAAGTTTAAGACATTAACCTTATCCACAAGTCAAGCCACGCCCGGAACCCGTACCAGTGCATCTCAGCCGTTGCCTCTCCGCAAACGCGCTTGCATGTGCCTCCGCTGGCAAGGCTGGAGGTGATTGTTTTGAAGAAGTTCCTCCCGCAGGGCGAACCGGGTCTTCTCCATTTGGGAGGGGGGCGCCGGTTGGACATGTCGTACGCCTGGTTCCGCTTGTTCCCGGCTGGCTTCTTCATGGGTCTTTCCTCTTCTGGGGCTTCCGGCTCCACTTCTCGCACAACAGCTTAACAGCCCAACAAACCAACAAACAGCCTGCAGCCTGAGGTTAACAGCCCAACAACCCAAGCCAACCCAGCAGCCCAACACAGCCCAGAGCCCTGGCCAACCCCCATCAGCCCAGCAGCCCAACAGCACAGAAAGCCAAGCCCTAAACCCTAAACACACAGACAGTGCACTCTAGCAGCCCAAAGTCCCACAGCCTATCAGCCCAACAGGACAGCAGAAACCCAAGGTTTTTCAGTTACATGCCCATGCCCAGCAAAAGCAACAGCCCAACAAAACAACCAGCAGAGCCTTGGCAAACCAGCCCATCAGCCCAGCAGCCCAACAGCCCTAAACCTTAAACACACAAACAGTACGGCCTACCAGCCCAACAGCCTTACACGCCCATGCCCAGCAAAGGCAACAGCCCAACAAAACAACCAGCCCAACAGAAAGCAGAAAGCCAAGGCCAAAACCTTAAACACACAAACAGCCCGCGGAAAGCATTGTCCCGGTAAGCGGCCGCAAAAGGCCCAGGGAGATGCCGAACCGTGCATACAAGGCAAAAGGGACCAATCTTGTCAAAGAGCGCGATTGGTTTCTGGCGGGGTGCCCGGACGAAGAAGGAATTCGCCAAAGGCGGGCGCGTCTCTCGGACGAGGCCGCTGCGGTGTGTTGGAACCGCTTTTTAATGCTCGTGCAGTTCGTGGATGAGACCCTGGCAGGGGCTCCCCAGGACCCCTCGCCCGGATACTTGCAGGGTGTCAAGGACTATTTAGAGCCAGGGCACATTCAACAGTTTCTCGACTACTACGCGTGGGAGGACAAGGTCTCCAAAGGGTACGCTGGCCCGTACTCCACTGGCTGGATCGAAACGATTCAGCGGAGCTTGTCCGCCCTGCGCGACCCGTTCTTGAAGAACAGTATGTCTGAGGCCGCTTTTAAGGCATGGTGCGACAAGTTTAAG